TCCAAAGAGGGTTGGCATTGGGCTCGCCAGAGTCACCTTGCGTAAAATCGAATGCGCCAGGCCAGTCGGATGTCCCAGCTGCGAACGAGTAGCCCAGAGCGGCTGGGCAAGTCTGCGCCTGCTTGCCATTGGGAAGAGTGAAGTTCCAGAATCGCATGTCGTGGAAGAAATGGAATGCCTTGACGGATGAGCCTGCAATTGGGGTTCCAGAAGTACCCAGGGAGTTCTGTCGCCGCCCATATTAGCGTCCTGAGCCTGGTGTCATTCATTTATGCCAAAAACTTACGTAGATGGTTTGAGCACCTGCAAATTGACGACGTCCTATCTCATAGCAGCTTTTGACGCCGAGGTCCAACGCTCTAAACTCAGGCCCCCGTCCGTGACAACTCTGCGACTTGCCATCCGCACAGGTGCTATTTTTCAAGCTACACTGCTGGCCGGATCCATCATCGCAATATGCCCCAAGAACGTTTGGTGTAGTATCGCCCACGTTAGCTTGGCTAAACCCAGCCACAAACCCATTGGCAGCGTTCGAGTTATCCTTCATGGCATTTTCGAACATCCACGCCGCAACTCCCTTGTTGTCCGCAGCAGCGTGGGTGTTATTACCGAGAAGGGAGGTTCCGTGAACAGGAAACCATGTGAGGACGCCGATATCCTTGTTATCGGAAGCACGCTTGAAACGAAGGAGGGTCATTAAAGTGTCAGTCTCATCCTCATATTGCTTGCGCTCGGATTCGGGATTGGCAAGATAGGCGTAAAGCGAGCGGTTAATAGCGCCATCCTTGACTCTGGTGGTACCTGCGTCCAAATAGCCCTAGGAAGCTGTGTAAGTATGCGGCATGTGATATGAGAGAGTCAGGTGCGTCTATTCAACAACGTACGTCCTGAAGATTTTCATGAGCGCGCTTGATTGACAGCACAGCACCGTCCACGAGAGCCTGGTAGCTCTGCTTGTCGAAGCCCAAGGTTGTAACCTGCGGCAAGAGATAGTTGAACCAGGCGCCTGGGCCAGCATGACTGTGAGTGCCGGTCAAGGCGATGTTATTGTGGCCGTAGATACTGTACTCAGTTCCCAGCTTCTTTAGTCCGTCCAACACGCCATAACGTGTAGCAGTATCTCCAGACTGCGAATCTAGGACCAGGTACACAAACCGGTCATGAGGATTATTCTTGTCAGCGATAATGAAAGCGCGGCTGTGCAGACGCTGCCGAAGACCAGTGCCTTTCTGGTCGAGGTTGGCATATCCGGCAAAGCCGATCTCAACAACAGGACCTGTGATGTCTGCTTTACCAACGCCAATAAGATACTTGTCACCCGTGGCGGCGGCAGAACCGCAAATTGCCAGCGTGCTGAGGACGCACAGTGCCACCAGGAAGAATAAGCTGTGAATGGAGCTTCTCGAAAGGCCCAAACCCTTGGAGGGCCGAGCAGTCGAGTACGCCATGAGGAAAACAGGCCTTGTGTATTCAGCATGTAAATAACCCGTCAACTGTGGGATGGCGTGTCTTGACGTGGAAACATGTCCGAGGCCACAATTCACGAAGGGTGTGTTGAGCATATGATGACCTTTATATTCAACAACCTTCTACACAGCCAACTCCCGGACCCAAAGCAAGGACAGCCAGCATGGCCAACTCTTTCGTCACTGGCTGCCTCGATATAGATGGGCCCTGATCGAATGGGATGAGAGGGGATGGCTAGCGGCACGTTCGGCCCGTCTCGTGATGAGAGTGGCAACGATGCTTTCATCCTGGCAGGTGGCAGAAACCACTTTCTGTGGCATGGCTGTCATGGAGGTGGCACGGAGCTTCTGAAGGATGCTAGTTGCAGCGGATAAAGGACAGGCGTGGTGCCTGGTGCGTCGTCACAATCCGCAATATTGAACTCAAGCGTCCACTCGCAGCGATTTAGAGCTTGGGGCTGGAGCCTCTGGACTGCCAGTGACAGACAGACATGAGGGCCGAAGATCGAGGCGCGTAGTACCGGCGGGATCCGCCAATGGGATGTGTGATTTGACGGACATGCGGACATGCACGAGATAGGTCGAGATGAAGACTGGAGATGATGGTTCAGGCCGTCCTGTCGGGGATGCAAGTTGGGGTGGCATCGAATGGCACTGATCAAGGACCATTGTCACCTTGGGCCACAAGTTGCACAAGTGAGTTTATACAGTACATATGTAAGTACGGAGTACCTAGGTGGCTAGTGTAGGGCACGAGTGGCACTTATGTTCTGTCGATGCAGAAATGCACAAATTGTACCGAGTACCTACCTCGAGTATGCATGCATTTATTAGTAACTCTGCGGCTTCAAATATTCGACTCGTACTTGTTGCCTCCGTACTTTGATGGTTCACAAAATGGTGCCTCCTACAACACCGAAAGAAACAGCATTTGTGTACCTAATGGGTATCAACTGTTTGCGCACCATCACGTTCCAAAGTTGACCTTACCAAATATTGGTTCCCCGTTCCCAGCGGCAGCTCCAGCGCCACCACCAGCGAACAGGGCAGGCGAATAAGGGCTGTGTGTGTCATCAGCCAGCATCTGATCAACTGGGCTACTGTCGTGTGCATCGTGAGGTCATCAGACGCCTCTTTTGTGCCACTCCCTCCAACTTTGATAGAGTTTGGACGAGACACATCACGATTTTATCAGGGCCGCCAGTCCCAGGGTTATTGATACGACAGTATCGATAAGGAAATTGGATCTCTATCACTCACTCTCTTTGTATGAATTGGCAATCCAACTGGGGCGAAGTGGCGACACCGCCAGAGAGATGCACGACTCACTACTTCTGGAACGTAGGGCCCAAACCTGGGAGTTTATACATGAGGAAAGTCATGTCATCATGAACTTACTGAAGTAACACTGTTCATTGCGCCATGTATCATCGCGCGAGGGGCCGCAAGCCTTGGTCCTTCCGTGGGACCTCGGTCTAATTCAATGCCCGGCTGGACTGGCCATGGATGTGTTCCCACGGGGAAAGTGAATAATTATGAGACGTGAGAACTGTGCGTGGGTTTCTGTGAAAGGGAGAGTCTTCGTGGACCGGGTGAGTAGATTGCGGGCTTCGACACAATGCCTCTAATTACGACACGCCGAAAGGGATTACGTCTTTAAGGCTAAAGTGCAAAGGATGGAAATCAAATATGCCGTGAGAAACATGTTCACCGTGCGACCAATCAGTCCGTGCTGCCAGTGCCGCTGCGCAGGTAATCCAAGATCACGATGAAGGGATCCTGGGTAAAGACTCCGACAGGAATAGGCCACTAGCTACCTAGGATACAACCCCATAGCATTAGACAAGAGGAAATATATGTTGCTAATTGAGGTTCATGATTCAGAGACTAGGCATCATTTGAACGCGTCCCAGAGAAGGAAAGCGGCAGGAGTTCTGCGTCCGGCGGTGAATTGGCACTGTCATGGGCAAACAAATGATAGGATACGCCGCTGTCCGTCAAGCAGACACGTCTTCGAGGTGTACAGATGCTCACCAGCTCTCTGAGTGCGGCGCTTGGAAGCCACTGCGGAGGAGTTGGTTATGGATTGTCCGTATCTCTTGCGCGGGCAGTAATATAGGGTAGCCGGACGTGCTATGTTTCCAGGCGCCTAGAGAGACACCGACCGATATCTGCTGAATGCAAAGTAGGGCCTGGAACTGTAGGCTTTGTTTTTCCTGACCGACGATTTAGCAGAATATCCGCGATGGCGTAGGATGTACCGATAATCTTGGCCTGCCTCTGTCTCTCACTGCCATACCGCCGGTTTCGACGTCTGAATACGTCAAGTTTTTTAATCACACGGGCATGGGCTGCCTGTCTTGTCTTGGAATTAGAGACACCAATACCCAAGCGCCTCGGGAGGACAAGTGCTCGTTGGGTAAGCACAGGAAGGAAAGTAATGGGAGCTCTCCCGCGCCGAGTTGAAGGGCGACCAAACCTTTTGGAACTCGACAAATGCCACCATGCAGGTCGGCTAGAACAACAGCGTGTAGCAGTCCCAGCGTATTCAAAACTCGCAGGATGGCGCTGGTATAACCAAGGAATAATATGATGGGCGTAGTCGCAATATGATTAGCTAGATGCAAGGCTTGTCAGCAGTAAATATCAGGTTGTACGTCAAAGTGACCCACGGAGACAAACAGGCGCTTTGAAACAAGATTGAAGCGATGAATCGAATATTCCAGTATATGTACCATTGAATATATCACAGAAAGAACGTGCTCTAATTGAACAGCAACTATACCCCCTTATATCCCGTTGACAAAAAATCTGACCTGCGATGCAATTACAAACTTGCCAAATCTAGTTCCAACATGCCAGGGAAGTAATTGTAAACAACATAGCTGTCAACAACAGCACATGCGCCAAGTCCGTAAGCAACATTGCGTCGAGCCTTGGGCGAGAGATTCTTCCATGCCCATGAGTTACTTGCCGCTGCATCGGTGGTAGCTGGCTTGAGAGAGGCAGTGGTGGTGGAGAAGGCTCGGCGGGTGGCCATCTTGGTGATAGAGGTAGAGAGACGAGCGACGGCAGACATTCTGAGGGCTGGTAGTTATAGGTGGAAGTCTCAAGGTAGATATTTCTGATGCGCTCGATGTGCTGTCCTGCTTATTGCAGGATAGGGCGATTGTTTAGAAATGTAGATTGCTTGGTTTGGTATGGATTGTGCTGTATTGCTTGATTGTGCAATGATGAGTTTCTGAGTCATATGATTGAGAAACTTGACCATCTATTTATATTTCTTCGTTGCCAATAACACGACTGATAAGCCTTACACCAGCATAACGGGAGCATAACGCTTAAGCGTTAAGATGTGCTTGCCCTCTATGGAAAGATCCACATTTTCTGATCGTTAAATCCAACTGCTGGCGGATCTGATGCGACGCCACAATAGTCCACAGCCTCGACCCTGGTACTCATGACGTCCAGTTGTAATACTCCCGGTCTCGTCCAAATACTACCGTGATATTGAAAGTGAACGTCGTGCCTTCGTTATGAATTACCCGGTGGGCCCTTTGGACGATTGATCGTGAGAGGCTTGAATGGTTTCCGGAGACGATCCATTGATGGCGGGGGACCGAGGCCAACAGGCCGCCTTATGCCGCCAGCTGGCTTCATAGATGTGAACGTTGTTGAGTGGAAGACAGTTGCTGGGCGCTGCAAAGCTGTCTCTCCCTCCTCATGTGGCGGCTCTGGTGAAAGTGGTCGCGTGGGGGAGCTCGAAAAACAGGCGTACCGTTTGGCGGAAGGTTCTTTCATCGTCGACTGGACTACATTGGGCCGTGAAATAAGTTTGGCACCTGGAATCTTGTGTTTGGCAAATGTTGGGTCTATAGTTGCTTTTGTGGTAACGTTGACAGCAGGCTGGAGAGTTTGGTGGGCTGCTCGTGATGCGGCTGCCTGATATCGAACGAGAGAATAATCTGTTGGTGCAGGCTTTATGCCTGCAGCAGTCGCGAGTGTCCTGGATTCCGTCGTCACAAATCCAAGCAAGCTTCTTTGGTCCGCTCGTCGATTAGTGGTTCCTTGAATACTTCGGTTTGAGCCGGCTTTACCAGCGGCATTCCGTGACGCCTCTGCCTCGACGCCAGATGCTGCTAAAGCCGTTCGATGTGTGCCTGCACTAACGAATCCAGGTAGGGAGGACATTGTGAATCCGGAAGACTGCTCCATTGTTGTAGAATAATCTGGTTTCCATGGCTTCTCCTGTGTCGAACCACCATTATTTACACAATGCTGTATCTTTTGCTTCTTTGGCGCTCTGCCGTACCAGTTATCCTCATATGGATCGAGATTATTAGGATTCTTGTGGTCGAAAGGATCAAGTGGATATTGGTCATCCTCGGGGCAAAACATGATTGGCATCTTGTCGAAGATTGATTTCTCGGATGGTATCACCCGGCCGAGAATTCTGCCTACGCTTTCCACGACTGGCCTATCGAATGACGGTCCTTTTTGTGCAAAGGACCCGGCAAATGCCGAGACAAATGGTGAGAGTTCGACTTTGTTGCCCAGTCCTTGAGATCCATACAGCGGACAGCTCAGATACAGCAGGGCCTTTGCCCTTGTCATGGCCACATAGAGTAATCGTCTCTCTTCATCCATGTCTTCGGCTCGGGAATGAGGTATTGATCCTTCGTAGACCGAGGGGATAAATACGACGGGCCATTCTAGGCCTTTGGCGGCGTGGATAGTTGATATTGTCACCTGCGACGCTTTGTCTTGCTCCTTGTCACCCGACTGGGCGTCGGACGCAAGAGCCACATTGGCCAGAAATTTACCTAGGATATCATTATCCTTTACTTGATCGACGTTTTCAATCTCGGGCAGAGCGTGTTCCTCTTCTTCGTTGCCATAGTCACGCACAAAGTCGTTTGCCAAACTCAGAAGTTCTTGTACGTTGGCCCACCGCTGTTCGTGGTCCTCCTGATATTCTGCTTCCAGGTACTTTTTGAAGGATAGCTGATTCACCAGTTGTTCAATCAAATCCACCAGGGACACGGGATTAGTTGCACTAATATTCTCCATTCTTTGTCGCAAAGAAGAGATGACGTTTAGAAGCTCAGTGTTCAATTTTTGCTCCATGTTTGGGCGGAGTTTCGTTGTTGCTCGTCGGCCTCCACGGCAGTGCCTGCATAATAGTGCCCAGAGGCTAAGCTTTGACATCTCTGCTTTCTCCAGGAGAGACTTTATTGTAGTCTCTCCTATACCTCTTCGAGGTACATTGATAATCCTAGCCACAGCGTCATTCATATTTGGCTGGTAAACTACGCGGAGGTAGTCGAGTAGGATTTTGATCTCCTTTCTTTCGTAAAACTTGTGTCCTCCTATCATGCGGTACGAGATACCTGCCTTGCCTAGGGCAGACTCAATGTGTCTGGACAGGTACGCCGACCGTAGCAATATCGCCACATCTTCATTCTTTATCGCCCCTCCAAACATTGTTATGACTCTTTTTAATTCGGATACAATCCATTCCCCTTCTCTGGAGGAACTTTTAAGCCTCCGGAGCACCGGTTTCGTACCCTTAGTATGTACCGGTAGAAGGACTTTCTGATATCGCTTTGAATCCTGCTGAATAACCTGCAGCGACATGTCGAGAATCAACTGTGACGATCGGTAATTCTCTTCCAATGATATCTCGTCAGTCTCAGGGTAGTCTCTCAAGAGCCGATAGAGATTCTTGATTTCTGCCGAGCGCCACCCGTAAATACTCTGATCAGGGTCTCCGACTATGGTAATTCGCTGTCGAGCCTGTGCAAACAGCTTCATCAAATCATATTGAATGCCGTTGGTATCTTGGTACTCGTCAATCAGCACTGCCTGAACGTTGGACACGCATGATGGGTGCTCTTGCAAAAGCTCAACGCATCGAACCAACAGATCATCATAGTCGAGTAGATTTGATCTGGCGAGATGGTCCTGGTATGCCGTATAACACTCAATAAGCGCTGGGGTCTCATGTGGCCGCTTTCCATTCTGTTTTGGTGATGGTGTCGTGCCCTTGGACTTCCTCTTGCTAATCCAGCTTTTGGCGTGTGCGGGTTCAATCTGCAAATCAAGTCTTTTGATGATCCTTTGGATGATAGCACGGGAGTCTCCATCGTCAGCAATTCCGAATTTGGGGTCCAAGCCAATCCGCTTGCCGTAAACGGCTAGATATCTTCGAGCAATGGAATGGAAAGTTCCGAGTACTATTTTCTTCTCACATTCTTCGCCGAGTCTTTTGCCGATTCTGCCCTTCATTTCCCGTGCAGCTTTGACGGTGAATGTCGCGACAATGACATCAGCGGGCTGATAGCCCACATGTTGCACAAGCCATACGACACGAGATGTCAATGTATGTGTTTTCCCGCTGCCCGGGCCAGCCAATATAGCAACTGTGGGGGAGTTTGATGTGACTGCCCGACGTTGAGCCTCGTTTAAAGAATTCAAGATTGTTTCTGGCTGTTGTGTTTCCATGGTGTTTTCGGCGCGTCGCTGTGCACGCGTAGATGGGGACACGATGCAAATGAGACTATCATTGAGTCAACTTTAGCCACTCTAGAGCACATGCAAGCTGCGTGAAGTCCTGGAGTTAGAATTGAAGAGACAATGGCCAAGAGAAGTCACAAGCAAATGGGTGCTGTACATGGCATGACTTGGACTGGTGTCAAACCGGAACGCGTAACAAAACGCCTCCACGTCGCGGGATCATGTGACCTGAAATTAGCAGGGTCAAGCTTATTGAGATTAACCATGAGGAACCGTATATAAAAAAAAGAAAAAAGGAAAGAAAAAGAAAGTAAAAGACACGAGGCGAAGCATGCATGTTGCACTAATCCGTACCGGAGACAAGTGGCTTGGTGAATTCTCGGAATGAACAAATTGTTCAGCCAGTTGTTGGGTCAAGAAGTGACCAGTGACAATTGCCGCAGCCAGGCCATGCGGAATAAGTACGGGGTGCTCCGTACCAACAACCTAGACATGATCTCTGACCTCAATAGCTACAACGTCTCGTCGGCTCGATTGGGCTCTGTTCGTGTCACCAAACTAAAAACGCGCCCAACAAGAGGCCTTCGATTTTGGCTGACGCGAATGCACAGAGTAGGGCGTACGCATTGACCATTGACCTTATGGACAGACTCAGCTGCTGTCTTGTGTTTTGTTGCCTTCCAGCGGCATTATTTTCAGTCTATTTACGGAGTACTTCGTACAGAGCGTGTATTCTCTCTGAGCAGATGCTCAGATGCTCAGATGAAATGTGATATGTTCAGCACTTCAGAAGCGGGGGCTGGATCTTCGGGCACCAACACTTAGCGTATGCAAGTCCCTCACTCTTCATCCAATCACAGGATTCATCCCCTCATCACTTCGAACTCGGCGCTTAGCATCCCTGCCATCACCACCAACCATCCAACCACAATTCGTCAACACCATCGGTCCTCCTGTGTGCACCTTTTGTCCTTCTGCCTTCCTGCGGTGTGATTCACCACAAGAGGGTGGCCCGTCCAAACGCCATCATGCAAGTCCGGTCAGAAACTGAAGCCCGGCCAGGGCCCGGTCGAGCAATGCCTCTGGCCTCAGCAAACCAACACGCGCTTCACAGCCCGGCGCCAATGTTTGACACACTTCCCACCGTCAGCAGCCGCTCAATGGCTCACTGGGCATGTATATACCGGAACGACGCCTCATATCCGTCCCCGACCTGGTAAATTCTCCTTCAAACCATGTCTTATCGACTTCCTCCAGGAGGTCACATCACACAGTGATCGCCGCCTTAAAGGGCTTACTTCCTCTCCACGATGCCACACTGTTATTTGCGACTGGTCTCTTCTCTGACCTTTCTGTCACTTTCCTTCCTCTTCACGCTCGCTCACTCGGGCCCAGCAGCTACGGAGCAGGTCTTTGACGCTATCAAGCGAGACGACAATCCTCTCGGCATTGACTGGAGTCCTGCACCAGCTCCCCAGGACGGTCCAGCGTTTTCAGCCAGAGCCCTGAGAGACACAAAGTATCTCCCTGCGCAGATTGGCGGTATTGTTGCAGCATACGGCGTATCATTGGTGCTGGTCGCCATAACCCTGCTTTCACTCGCCAAGAAAAGACGGCAGCATATCCAGGCCGGCAACGACGAGGCCGACTTTGACGATTCCAAGGCGATTTACGACACCGACTCACCATCGACCGCCTTTCCCCTAAACCAGTTCAATCCGCAATCACATCTTCGACGCTCGGCGGTCCCTAATTTCTCGTATCAATCACCCATAAACACTCAGTTTAACGATAATACTCTTCCCCCTCTCAAGCCGTATATTTACCCTTCACCAATATCTTCTGTCGGCCACCCAGGGGTAAACCCTTCAGTTGATCAATCTGTTGTTGCTCAAGACAGAAAAATGGCGCAAAATCAACTGGAAGAGATGTACAAGCATGTCATGAATCATGAAGATGCTAAACAGCGCGGAATTGTATTGGACGCCCCCGTTTACCCGAACCAGCAGCGAGCATCAGCTTTTGACAAGTCTGCTACGACACTGTCGGGGAGAGACAAAACCAAGCCGGCAAGCTTGAACCTGAATGCAGAGCATGAAGGCAAGACACAGTCCAGGACTTCTTCCTTCTTCTCAGCGCTGCGCTCTCCACGGAAGAAGCCTATCAAGGGCGTGCATATCTCGCCGCCGATAATGACTCCCCAGTCAGCAACATTTCCAAGATACGAATCGCGGGAGATGAATACGATCCCTCACAGAAACTATGCACCTCCGCCGCCTCCTCCGATTCCTACGGATCAGACTCCCTTTGGAGCCCAGGTCCGGAGTAGCGGCACTCCTCCTGCACCAAGCATGTCTCCCGGAAGCATACAAAGCATCGACGAGCGTATTAATTCACAACTTGGCCCGTCAAACTCTTCAAATAGTGCAAAATCCGAGGCCGAACCCGAGTCGGCTACATCGCAAACGCCTCTGGTTGGGCTACCCTCGTCCCCGAAAGCCGGCGCCACTTTCCCTTCTCTGCCCTCATCTTCCAAGCCTGGGGTTAGATTCCAAAGAGCCAACGCGCCCTCGGCAGTGCGTACTGGTGGTAACTTGCCGTTGAGAGCTTACGAGCACTCTCTTGCCTCGCCGTCCGCTACGCCTCAGACGACGAAGCAGACTGTCTTTGAGAGACGCGGCCCACTGTCACCAACTACCGGGAAAACACCAATGACTGCTGGTGCGGTACCTTATTCGCCCTACCAGCCATTTACGCCACTTGTACCCATTACCCCTTCTCTAGTGACCAAGGAGGACCGAAAGAGAATGAGGAGAATGATTCCCAAGACACCCACTACGGAACTGGTCAAGAGTTCTGAGGAGATGTGGTAATAAAAGGCTTCTGAGAGCACGCCTCGCGACCACGATTAATCTGCATGGATGAAGACTATACCATTGATGCGGCCTCTCTTTTTTTCACATGACCCAGCACAAAGGGTATTTTACTATGTCATCACACTAGCTAGCATACCGCTACGTTTTTCTTGGCTCGTTTTTTTATAGATTAGTGTTTGCGAAAGCCAATATTTAGGGTACGGGGTTAAGGGTTCGGGTTGGACGTGATGGGAACGCCACGATTGGGTGGAACCATGTTTGTATTTCCTTTCTGTAATAACGACTTCTTGACGAGGTAGATCCTCTCCAGTCGAACAAGGATACTATTTCCCATATATGCTCTATACATACTACCACTGTACATCCTATCCCTCTTGTGTTGGTGTGAATCAAACGATTGAGCTTCAGGTCAGTCAGTCTTGCCCAGCGGGCCCAACGTGGGTTGTCGTCCTTGATAACTCAGCCAGTGCATTGACATTGAGCGCCACGGGGCTCAAGATTTAGACTTCTGGAGGCGGCTTGGCTTCAGTCTGCCATTTCTTACAAGGTTGTTGTCTTTTGAGATCTTGGCAGGCCGGGGGCCCTGCAGCCCAGTTGTTGATTCGGGTTGAACTACTCCGTAGCAGGCAAACGACCAAGTGGCCCAGAGGATCACCACTGACTAGGAGTCACTCGCCGGGGGGGCATGACTGTACGATACGAGCCATTCATTGTACGCTCCGTAGTGCAATTAATATGATACAATGGCACAGGATATTTGGCCGGAGACTAGTATGAGAGCGTACCATTTATCTCATCCGACGGGTCAATGCAGATACAGTGGATAGAGTTGGCGATTTGGTCGTCTTGGCTCGCTGGGGGGGGGCGCATGTAACGTCAGGATAATCTTGCGTCCGCGTCGGAGGTTTCCCGAGGACAAAGAACAGCCGCCATCTTCCTGATGGGCGTGGACCTTTTGAGTGGGAATACGTGCTCCGTGTCCTCCGCATCCTCCGTACCATCGGTGCCCATCAGCTTTGTACGTACATGCGTTTCCGCCGGGTGGGCCGAGAGAAGAAAAAAAATGCATGCTTGCTTGTTGGAACGCTCTGGAAGAGATTGATAGACAGCGTTGAGGTGAGGCTTGGCGATCTGATACGTGACACATGTTACCGAGGATTCCGCAGAGGAACTAATGCAGAACAAGACGTGTGGACTTTCTTGCCAGCCAGTTACCCTATAATAGACTCTTCTTTTCATCTGTTTTATAGATTACATGCGGGATGCACATCCATAATGCGCGGATCGTGCAGAGCATACGATAGTTAGTGGTGGGAGTATTTGGCGAGACCAGGTACCTGGCTATCGCGCCCTGTACTATAATATGCTGTAGTATATATTAGCGTATACTTCTGGATGGGCAAGTGTATTCCGCCACAGACTTGTAGTAGTAAAAAAATCCGGTCAAGTACTTTACCCCCGTGGGGAGACGGCCAGGTTGTTGCGACGATCATTGCCGTTTCTTCGCCCTTGCTAGTCCATATCGGGGTTTGAAACGAGGCTGACAGCGGCAGTCGATTTACTACACACATCCAACCGTAACGAGGATCGCAGCTTTCGTCACGGCATCAACGCCGTGCATGCATATGCACCGGCGGGCTCAGTTCTCGTAGAAACGCTCTGCGGAGGCCGTAGATTCGTTTCTCAGCCCGCGATGGCCTCAGGAGCCGCGCCGCATGTAATGCAAGTCTACCATGGCGAGGAACGCGGTCCCCAGATCCGCGCGAAGTCGTCCTTCATCAACGACTTCAGCCCGTAGCCAACAATGGAACTATCTCCTACAGAGACGCTCCCAGGGGACCTGTAGCCTCGCCTATGATGATGACGACCTCTGCTACTTCGTCAAAGCCCGCCAAGACCGTCACTTCTGGAACCCAGACATGAGGCTTGTTACGAGGATCTGGCTCGATGGCTTCCAAGGCCGTGGTAAGACACTCCTTGGCGGCTACGGTAGTAGAAGAGCTCAATATCAAATGTGCCTCCTTCCTGCGAGCAGTTTGCTACGAGTACTCAAGTCATCACATGACGCTGCAACGTGCAAGGCCGAAAATGTCCTTCAAACCGTCTTAAGCC